CATTTTATCAATGTAATTTTTTAGAAATTAATTATATTTTTAGATTATAATTATTGATAGGTAAAAATTAGTTTAGTTTGTATATGTAGTGCATTATTAAACTATTTTTTCTTCTATCTTCAATTTCATAATCATAAAATTCTATATTTTCATTTATCAAAATTATGAAATACTTAATCTGAATTGGTAATAAAAAATTTTATTTAAATTTTTGTTATTTCAATTATATTTTTATTTTTATTACATAAAATTTAAATTTTGAAAGAAAAAATAATACTAATTTGAAGCTGAACTCCCATTCCAATGAGAACCATTAAGAGTTAGGACCACTTTGGTTGTTCTTTTGAGAGCTAAGTCATTCCAATCTCATCCACACCTCTTTAATTTATGGTTTTTCTTTAACATCTCTCTTTACTACATTTAAGGCTGCTCATGACTAGCATCTTCCTTTAATTACTAAGTGTGGTCCAAGAACATATACATATATACACACACACACATACTGGCAATAATAGTTGTTTAAAACATAATCATACATACATATATAAATATTTATACATATGTGTGTATGGAGAATTCATAATTTCGATATGACAATGAGTATTATTACTTACATTCTTAAAAGTTATTGAGTACCAAAAAAAAAAACTTTGTTTTCAGAAAGTGGTAATAATTTTCAAGATACTTGCATGGCCATGGTTTGTTATATGAGAATAATCGGAAGTGAGTTGTTGAATCTACCCCAATTAAAGTAGATGGTCCATTGGCCCATCTCAAGTTGCATATGTGCATGCCGATCACAATTTCATTGAAGGCTACACTTCGTCAACTTATAAGACTAACTCTTTGTATGGTTTTTGAAGAATGATAAAATGGTGATTTAGACTTTTCTTTTCTTTTCTATCTTTTTTTTATTTTTTATTTTTGTAATTTTTACTCTTTTATCATAAAATAAAATTTAATAAACAAATATTATTGATAATGGAAAATTGAGTTTTTCTTAAATAGAATAATATTAAAATTTTATACTATAAGAATAATTTCCAATATATTTACATAATTTTGCTAAGTAGGGTGGTGTTCATAATTAGGTTTGGTCCTTCATATTTTTTAGCCTGAACCAAACTAAAAAACCTATAGTTTACATGATATATAAACGTATTAAAAATAATTTTTATATAGTATACAATTATTTACGTAAAATTCAAATTTGGACTGACTTTTAGTTTATGATATGTAGAGCCAATTTAAATCAATCTAGTAGGTCATATTTTAGTTCAAACTTAACTTGTAACGTTAAAAAATAATAATAATAATAATAATAAATCAAGCTGAATAAGCTAAGTGGATAAATAGCTAACAATAGAGTTAATAGCAAGCACAAGAGGTTTACCATAAGTATGAGATAGATATAGATTAAGGAATTATTTTAGACAACTACAAAGGTAAGTTTATTCATAAAATACCTATCTCATGGTCATCACTTGTTTGCTAGTGAATGGATAAGAATGAAAAAGGTATCTTAACAAATTTACCCTTTATAATATTATTTATTCACATTTTTCTTCATATTATTAAATATTAT